GAGGGGCAGCCCCGGCCTCCTCCTCCTCCTCCCCCTTTTGTCAGGCAAATACCCTCCCTTTTCGTGCTTATTTCTCTTTTTCTTTACAAAACGTGGTGCCCTTAAAAGGCCGGGTGGAGGCCGATCGCCTCAGCAAGATTCAGCCTCGGACGAAGCAATCCGATAAAGGAGATTAAAGTATATTCCTCCGGCTGGGCTGTGAGGGAAAGTTTAGCCGCATGGAGAATTAAGGGATATATTTATTTTTAGGTGCTATTCCCCCCTCCTTCTCCTCCCTCCAGCTTTTTTCCCAGTGATAAATCACCGAGGTCAATAAGCCACCTTGACAAACGGGATAACCTCTGAGAGAAATATCTCTTTTTATCTTAATAAAACCCCTCACCTATGGGCTCTAATGGACGCTCCAGCAAAATAAAGACGTAACGTAAGCTGCTTGAAGCCCGGTCTGGGTGAAAACTGTTAATTTTCGAGAAATAGGGCTGTGGGATGCTGTAATCAGTGCTGATACGATGAAGGAAAGCTGGGATATAAAATATCAAAGCCCCGCTCGCAGGCGTGTGCTGTGCATCTATTTTCAGAAATAGGGTGGGCTGGGTTTTTTTTTTTCTCCTTTTTTTTTTTCCCTTTTTTTTTTTTTTTTTTTTTCCAATAACCCAGGGTATCACTGGCAGCCTGGTAACACGCTTGCGTAATTGGCTGCATCGATTTTGCCTCGTGTTATTGAAAAACGCGGGGTGCTTTAAAAATATATCGTGGTGCTGGGTGTTTCAGTTTTGCGGGGAAAATGGGAAAAAAAAGGAGAATATAGCATTAATTTTTTTATCCTACCTGCCTGTGCTGCATAATGAAGCTGGAGAAATTCAGGGCTTGGGTGGCTCCCAGAGTAATCCCTGCTGGTTCCCCCCCTATCTCTCAGCCAGCAGGATCAGACCACTTTTCATTAAAGAAATGTTAGGTTTTTAGGTTGTGTCGAAGACGGGAAAGTGCAGAAAATGGGTCTGAACGCTCTGCGGGGAAGGATGACGCTGCAGCAAGCCAGCTGGGATATGGCTGCAATTAACCTGGGTCGACCAAAGGAAAAACCCAGTTTTCCTCCAGCTCTCTCCATCCCATTTGGAAAAAAAAAACCCAAAAAAAACAAAACACAAAACAATAAAACATCAGCAGCACTAAGCACCAGCCCTCCTCCCAGCACCTTTTCCAGCCAGCAAAGCCCCGGCGGCTGCTTTGGCCTCAGTTTCCCCTCCCGCAGCGTTTCCCTCTCCGCAGTGGCTCCTTCCCGGCACCTTGAAGGCGGTGATGGCAGAGCGAAGGCACGCGAGGAATCCAGCTCCTCTCTCCCTCTCTGCTTTTCTCCTTTCTCACGGCAAACCAGGGGGAATGCATGCCGAGGAAGACACTTTCCAGCTGGTTTCCCTTTACAGGCTCACTTTTCTTGTGCCACGCCAAAATCTTCGGCTTGCAAAGAAAACCTGAAAAAAAGCCTTATTTGTTACGAAGCAACTTTGGCCACTGACTTAAAAATATTACAGCTGTGCCTGTCAGCTCCTCCTTCAATTTAAGAACTCTCTTTAAAAATCAAAAAAAGTCCTTTTGAGTTGCAAGAAAGATAACTTTTGGGTTTTTTTATGGGATACACTGTTGTATTCCTGGGAGCAAATCAGGCTCGCAGCAGGGCACAGTATCGGATGCCTTTGCTGGGAAAGCCCGGGGAAATTTTATCCCTGGGCCGCACCCAGCCTGAAGTGAAGAAATATTTGCATTTGCTTCTCGTTGGAGGGCAGCCAGGTTCCTCCCCGCTCTCCTTGGCCTGCCAAGAGGGATTGCAAGAAAAGACGGGCTTATTGCAGCAGCCGAGGAAAGGGCAGGGCCCGGCCGCTGCGATTCGGAGGCGTACGATCCCCTTTGCCCTTTTGCACCGCCGCTGGAAGGAGACAAGCCCCCTCGAGGGGGTTTTTATGCCTGGGTGGTCTTGGGGGAGCTCTGCAAGGCTTGAGAGGGCTCCCAAGGAGAGCAAGAGCTTCGTATTGCTCCATGCATGATTTGTATTTATTTTATTTTTGCTAGCAGACCTGGGCACTTGCTAAAGCGCTCGCAACAGGGTGAGGAGCCCAAGGACGGGCTGAGCCGTCGCAGCCGATGTGGGCTCGCTCGGCAGCGGGATGGGACCCAGCTCCCTCAGCCCCACCCCTGTGAAATCTCCTCCACGCAGCTTGGCCGGCGCTGGAAATTCCTCGAGATTCTCCTGGGGGAAAACACGGGGCCGTGCTTTTCAGGCTTAGCAATGCTCCCCGCGCCTCGGCTTGTAATGCTTCTCCTGTTATCCGAGAAGAAAATGGCTTAAATCAGTCTTTTATCCTCTTACCTCCACGTCCATCCATCCCTGTCCCTTGTCATCCTCTGCTCCTGGAAAAATACGCCAAATCTGACCGCTTCTGCGTCTCATCGCCACGTTGCCAAACTCTCCAGCTGCACCTTGCCCTTCTCCTCGCCCTTCAGCATCGTCTCCAAGGCTTCATGTTGACAAAAACCTTTCCCTGCCTGCCTCCGGCCAAAAATCACCGCAGTCCCGGTGCTAACAGCCCCTTCTGGCTCACTCTGCGGGGGAAATACCCGACCCCTTCCCACCGTTAGCTCCGCGGAGGGGTAGCGTAGCTTGCTGAGCACCCAGGGGTGCTGCGCAGAGGGTTTAAGCCAGCGTGCAATGCAGTAACACATCCAATACGCCGCTCGGCATCGGCGTTTCCATCCTCCCTGAAAACCTCGCTTGGAACAATACCTGTATTGCCAAAAAACGGGCAACCCTTTGCCCCCGGGGGCTTCCCTTCCCCGCTCCCTTTGGCCACCGCCAAGTCTGCCCACGTCTTTTTACTTTTTTAGCATCATTTTGCTGCCTGGTTTTCCCCACAGGGCGAGAGGCTTTGGAAAGCGAGAGCTGACTTCGAGCAGGGGACTTCCCCAGCGTGGGACACGGGGGGCGTGTGGTGTCCCCACCCAGCCGGACCCAAAGCCACCTACTTACGTGACCGGGACAGGCCGCAACTTTACATTACCATCCTATTTATAAATAAGGTTACAGCAAGTTACGACCTGATGGATGGGCCGTAGACGCACATTATGAACATTGAGTAAGAGGCTCTGTAGATGAGGAGAGGCGGCAGGAAATAGTTGCGGGGTTGGTGTGATTAATCAACCAGCCCGCCGGACTCCAGTGCGTACGTTAACCATACATTAACCCTTTCATTCATAAATACAGCACGCGCTGGAGAGACATCATACGTGACCTAGAAGCTGCTCGTTTTCTTTTTTAGCAGCTCCCTTTTTTCATCGGGAAAGCATTAAACATCATCTCAGATGCTCTTGCTATTTTCTCCCCTCAATTTGTGGCTTTTTAAGCACTTTTGGTTAAAAAGAACCCCCCCTCCCCCCTTTCTCCAGCTGGTTTGCAACGCCCTCGCAAGCAAAACCGCGAAGCACCAGTGACATCCTTGCGCAGATGTTGGGCACGTAGAGAAACGGTCTAATTTCTGCTGGTTTGGACCGAGAGAAGATCAAAAACCTGATGGTGGAGCGATATTATCTTGGATAACGTGCAAAAACGGGGCTGTCCGTCTTTCCCGGCATCCTGGCGCTGTCGGATATAGGAGAAACAGCGTTCAGCTGGAGTTTTTCTGCCTGACGGGGGAATTTGTGCTCCGGCTGCCCTCTGCCGGCTCCGGGACTTGGTTGAGATGGAGCCCAGGCAGTGCAGGCTGTCCACAAAAACAAACAAACAAAAAAACCCAACAAAAACCACCAAACCCACCACCAAACCCCCTTTCATCACGACCACAAGTCACAAAATCCCGAATCCGGCCCCGAAAAATGACACCCCCCCCACTGTCCCCCAGGTGACAGCAGCCCATCGCTGCACCCCAAAGTCAGCTGCGTTACCTTCCTGAGCGACCTGACTCTTGCCACGCCTATAAAATCAAAAAAGTGGCTTTTTTTTTTCTTCTTATTTTTAAACTTGCGTTTTATGGGTTAGGAATGCAGGGCGGATGAAAGAAACGAGGGGTTTTAAACTCGGGGTTTTATTTAACTGCGAGTAACTAAATCAGTGCCCACTCTCTGCATCACCGCAGAGAGAAATGTTTAAGTGAAACCCCAAGGAAGCTCGAGAAGAAAGGAAAAAAAAAAACAAAACACCCAAGGGAACCAAACCGGCCTCGGAAAAGGAGTTTAAAAAAAGAAATAAGTGAAGGAAACCTCAGCTCCTCTGCCACCACGGCTCTGCCAGGGCTTTTTATGTTCGTAAGGAGCACAGAGCCACGCCGGGACACAACATCTGCGCTTCTCCGCCTGGCTCGCCCGGCGGGACGGGGGGACGGGTACGTTTTGGTGACAAAAACTCCGGTCCTGCAGCTATTTGGGGGTGCAGCGGGCACCCTGGACCGGCCGCGGGGTGCGTCCCGGTGGGTGCACCCCCTTTTTGGTGTCCAGCGCTGGAAGACGGAGGTCGAGCCATGGGGTTTTAGCAGGATGACTCGTTCCGCCGGCGGACGTGGCAGGACTTGCAGAGGAGGTGGTCGTCCAGGGGGTAGCACCCGTTCTCCGTCGGCTCCGGCGACAGGGGCGTCCCACAGCTCTGGGGGCGAGAGGGGAACGGGAGGCCATGTTTTAGGGGTCCCCGTGCCGCATTGCATGCGAGACACTGCGCCATTGCATCCCATCTTTTCTGCAAAACCCACTGGCGCTCCGAAAAAGCAACAAACTACATCAAAAGCGTGAAAAGCTGAAGCTCTCCTGGCTGAACACATCGTCCTTTTCACCTGATTTATTTCCCCCCTCCCTGTCGCTTGCAAGATAAACCGGTGGCTAAAAAATAACCCCAGGTGCTGCGAGCCCCATGGCCGTGCTTTGCAAAGTCTCGGTGCCAAACCCCTCGGCTTTTGGGGGGCACCCCCAGCCCCGCCGGGGCCGTACCTCGCAGCGGTAGCAGCTCTCGTGGAAACTGCGTCCCAGGCACTCGATCTTGTAGGTGTCCTTGTCCTCGCAGGGGACGATGGGGTGCTCGCAGGCGCTGCAAACCACGGCGTATTTCCTGATGGGAGCAAACCAGGGCGGCATCAGCCCTGTGGGGTGACGGGGATGAGCCGAACCCCCCGCAACGTGGAGGATGCTCCCCCGTTTCCGTGCTCCCCAACCTGTAGAAGTCGGCCACGCAATACACCTCGTCCTGCTCGTCCACGGCGAAGCTCTCGGCGCCGATGGCCCGGCCGCAGGTGGCGCAGGAGAAGCAGCCGGGATGGTAGCCCTTGCCCAGGGCACGGACGATGCGCTCCGTGATCAGCCCCCGGCACTTGGCACATTTCTCCAGCGTGGCCTGGGGTTTGAAGGGGGACACGCCGTGAGATGCCAGCTCCCCCCGCGAGGGACCGCATCTCCCGCCACCCCTCTGAGGGTGCTGGTTGTCCCCGAGGGAGGACGGGTACCTGGTAGCAGGCGTCACACATGGGGCGCCCGTCTTTTTGGTAGTAGCGCTGGCCGGCCAGGAGCCGGTGGCAGGGCCGGCCGGGGGAGCAGGCGGGGG